GACAACACCAAATAAGTGAAACAAGTGCAATCAAGCAATTGTACACTATAAAACTAGTCACAATCTGTTCACTAGATTTTTATCCAATGAAAGATAAAAGTAAAAAGTAAAAAATAAATTTTTAGATAGATAATTTTTTATCTTTCCAATGACATAAAAATCATATAATTCCAAGTTATTATGAATAATTTATGATACATTAAAGATAGAATGTAAGTAATAGAAAAGTTAAGTGAATAATTTTTACCTCAAGGATAACTTGCTTAAGAAATTAGGAGTTCGAACCTCACCAAGGCTCACAAGTAGTGTATATTAATTTCTAAAGAGTCCTTGAGGCCTTAGTCTTATCTTCCTACCTATACCCAAGGTGCTACAACCCATATGGAAATTGAGCACCTCTCTTCTTACAAGGACTACACTATCTTCTAGTCCTCTTAATTTCTACTAGTAAAACTACTTTTTTTGTATTTTTGACTCCACCATGATGTTTGAAAACACCCAATTAGCCTAGAAACTTTGAATAGTCCTTAAATCTTGTTTCATTTCTTCATAGTGGCTCTCAAGGTGATAAAACTCAATTTTTTCAAGGTCTTAAAATTTTCTCTAAAATTCATAAAAAAATTATAAATATATTCTAAATATATTCTAAAAGATCTTGTAATATTTCTATAATACTAATATCTATAAAAGGCTATATTTTTCTATTATTTTAAATTTTTATAGTAATAAAATTAATTTAAATCTACTAAAAATTCTATTTTCTACATACATAACTTAAAAGACATGAAATTCTTTTTCATGCTTCTTTTAACTATTAACTAATCATTGATAGGATTTTTGTAAATAATTCATGTAGATATGAGGCCAATATAGAAATTTGTCTCAATTACTAATCATTAATACTCAATAATGAGTGAAAATACTAAACCAACTAAGATAATTGCCTTCAAGACTTATTAAGACTCCATTTTTATAACTTTTCTTGTAATAAGACTTTTATACTTATAAATACTTCTAAATTCTAATAACTAAGTAAATAGTCGAAAAAAATATCTAACCTTAGTATTTATTTCATTAAATGAATCAATACTATATTTTTAATCAATCCATCAATTAAGTTCTACTGGTGGGACTCACAACTCTTGATGGTATTACAAATGTTTTGTTTAAAGGAAGTTACGAAGGTTTCAATAATGATCAAATCATAGGATGATCTTTCCGCCTTGGAATAAGACATTACTGATGGCCAAGAGGACCTATCAAATATCTTTAAAGAAAACAAAGATCAGAGTATGTAGCAAATATAATTTGCTGCGTCTTAGACTTTCTTGACATGTGATCTTTTGCTCCTCGTGGAATTCATTTCTAAAAAGGGAGATAATATCATGGATTTATATCTACTATAATTATTACTTAGATAACATGAATAGGTAGAAATAAGTAATAGAAGATTAATTTTATATTACCTTCTAGAAAAGCTTCCTAGAAGTTTTGTAGATGTTGTTCTGACTTTACATATATTTGTAGTTGATTGATAGGTTAGAAACTTGGTCAACAAGCTAACTACATGCCACATCTATTGATAGCTTATGGAATAAGCTAACTATGAGGTATCCATATAAAAAACTTGTTTTGTATGTTAAGATACTTGTCATGCAAAGTCAATACGTTTTTGGAGGTCCTATAGAATGTCACCACATAGATCTTAGGTAGATAGTATATATAGAGGTAAGAGTAAAGCCTTCTTCATTCTTATCAACTCTTTTTTATTTTTAATTTAGTTTCAATAATCTCTAATTTCTTTGGCTTTTGAAAATTTTTAGTTTAAATAATTATTTAAAATGCTTATATTTTTAAGATATTAAAAGAAAGAATAGAAATATTTCTATTAAAAAATAAAATATATAACAAAAAAAATATTAATATTTTTAATATACCATCAATAAGTATAAAAAGAATTAGATAATTTTATACTTACTATTGATATTTTTATATAATATCGTAATAAATTTATTTATTTATTTAAAATCAATTTACTTTAATAACTAATAGTAATCATTAAAAATATATATATTTATGAATCTTTAAAAATTAATATTTTCATATTAAATAAAATAAAAATAAATTTATTTTATTTTTTAATAACAAAAATACATCTATAAATATAAATTAAAAAATTATTATAGATAATGCTATTAAAAAACTTAAAATTAAGGATAAAAAAGTTTAAATTTTCCTAATATTATGATTAATTGATCTTGTGATAAGTTTAATAATTAAAATCTTAGATTTCTAATCAATAAAATATATATTAATTTAATTACACATTATATATAACTACTAAAATTTTAAAATATATCTCTTCTATATATCTCTTTTATTAAAATTTGTAATATAATCAATCTGAAAAAGTATAAAATAGCTTATAAATATTATATTAGTATAAAAATACTTAAAATAGTATATTCTATTGATTTATTATATAATTTGACTAGTCTTTGTAGAATTTGTTTATAGAAGTAATTATAATATAATAATTAATTATAATATTTAAATAATTATAAATAAATAAATATTTATTAATTAAGTAATGTATAGTTCAAGAAATATTAAAAACCTTCATAGATACAGATTTGTTGTATAGATTTTTTTGATTATGCTATGTAGTTATATAAATTTTTTTATGGGTAGTTTTCTTTTTAAATTTTTATTATAAAAATTTCCTAAAGTTTAGATTGACGATGAGCCTTGTGCTTATTATAAATATTTTAATGATTTTTTATTATGTTATATAGAAATAAAATTGAAGCTTCTACTATAAATTAATCTTAACTCTTTTTTATCCATCTAAAAATAAAATAAAAATAAAATCTATATCATTAAATTATTCTTATTGATCAAATATTATCAATAGGAATATTTTATTTGCACATTAATGTATTCTTATTATTATTACTTTTACTAATTATTATATTTCAATTTTTAAAAATTAAATTTTTTATTTGATAAATTTATAAATATACATTTGTATTAAGGTACACATTATTCCAATTTTCTCTTCAAATCTCTTACAATTACAACATATTGAATTATAATTAGAATCTTTACCATTAAAAATTCAGAATAATAGTTATGAATATGACATGTGATTTAAAATAATATCAATAGAAGATTATTATAAAATTTAAATCCAAATATATATTTTTAATGCATTAATTCCTAAATAAACAAGTACTTTTCTAATATAATTACCAAAAATGAAGACAAACATTTATTGTCTATATATTTATGTAGTATGTTTGTACGTGTTTTTGGTAATTTCAGATCTTTTATGTACACTGGATAGAATCTCCGACCAAAATGAAAGTTAAAACGATGTATTTGTAACGATGTAGCCTCCAATACTGAAATAAAAACAGCGAAGCACAGCACCGTCTTTGAGATTTTTCCCAAACGAATCGAGGAAGAGTCGAATGGATGTCTCAAAATGTCATTCATCCAATATAGTGAATGAAGGCGGGACCTCCGGAGCATTCCAAATGGAACGCAATGCGGGGTCGAACAACCTCGTTCGTGGAGTTTAAAAAAGGAATGGGCCCGGGCGGCGTGCCCGGTGTCCGTGGGGTCCCAACCGCCCCTGCCCCAACCCACCCCCACTACCGTGAGCGTGCGCCATGTGGAGGACAGGGGAGGCTGTATGACTCACCAAACCGACCTGGGAACGGGTGGTAGCTCCCCCCACCTCCTGGCCTCGACTTCGCCCCTACCCGGCCCGTCCTCAAGTCAAAATATAATTTGTGTCGTGTTCGGGGAGTTGATCACAACTATTTGGTGATTAAACATCCTAAAAAACTACCACCAATAATAAATCGAAACTTCAAAGAAATCCAGTTGTCTTTAAATTAGAAATAGGATCGTTTTATTTATTCTAACATGAAATACTATTTTGTGACGGATATCTATGCATGAGAATTAAAAATTTTAATTGCTAAATACATCCACACAGTTTTCAGAAATAATAAACAAGACATTGATGTGACACATGTATTTCAATAGGCCGAGATAAGAGTTAGATCTTATGAAATGTTGTGGTTTTATAATATAACATTGATCTGCTGTGAAAGGAAGGAATGAAGGTATGTTGTACTGGAATCAATAGAACATTATAGACAATTTTTTCTACAAGAAAATAATATGCCTTTCTATCATTATGATTGGATTGGTTGGTCATGGTACTTGTATTCTTTTTACTTTATTAAATTTTACTTTAATCCTACTAATCGCTCTATGCGGCACATAATCTGTCATGCTCAAAGTTGGCTTTGGTGACTTTATTTGTAAGTGGGTTCAACCTGGTGAACAGTTATGGCAAAAGCATTGTCCACCAGAGTCTCAACCTCTTTTCTGAATGTCTTTCAATTCCACACTGAAAAAAAAGTTTTTTTTAAAAAGAAAATCACCATATGCATATACCTACATGACAGTTTTTATTTATTTATTTATTATTATTATTATTGGAATCCAACAACATATTCGGAAAGGAATAACAAATTATGATTGAGAAAGATTAGAGACACGAACCAACCTTTGTTGTCACATAGAAGTGTTTTAAAGCCTCTGTTTCTCAAGGTGGGTACTACACCAAACATCTTAATTCAAAGCCTTTAAAGGGCTTGATTCAGGTCACACACTTGTACCAATGCAGGCTGACAATATCAACTTTTATTTACCCCAATTTGATCTAAAATCCCTCAGTTAAGTGAAGAGTCCACTTACCCGAGTCACTATGAGCTAACAATTCCCTTAACTACACAGCATCGTCGAAGACCCGCATTGCGTCCCACGCCATCATCGGAAGAGGTTTCTACGAAGTCCTTCTCAAAGTTGTGCGCGTTACCGTGCAAAGTATCGTTCACATTGCTCCTGACCCGAAGGTGGTAAGAAGGCATCGAAGGTCTGGTCTAAGGTTGAATTCGTACCAATAAATTCTCGGAAATAGTGGTTCCGAGAAGTGGGGATCACGCGTCCATTGCGGGACCTGTATTTACGGGAACCGCCGACCACATGCAGCGATTCATGAGGCTGCAGAATGCATTCGGGTATGCAGTATGCTGGATTTTGAAAATTAGCGACATAGGGTCAGCGAAGTGTGGTAGGGTTTTGCTGTAATTACTTTCGCATCGCAACCACAAGAGGAATCGCATTCGTGAATGACAATTCGTATGTTGGTGAATGCAATGGTGGCGAGGAGCGGCAGCCTGAGGACAGCGCCTGACATTGGTGTAGAGAGTACTCAGCATTGCTTAGGTGTGGTGAAGGAGAAAAATCGATTTGCATTGAAGGAGGGTGTGAATGTTGCAGTCCCCAAGTACAGAGGTGTTCGTCAACGCCAATGGGGGAAGTGGGTTTCCGAGATTAGAGAACCGAAGAAGAGGTCGCGGATCTGGTTGGGGTCTTTTCCTACAGCCGAGATGGCAGCCCGAGCTTACGACGCAGCCGTGGTGTGCTTGAGAGGGCCAACGGCGTCATTGAATTTTCCTGACTCGCCTCCTCATGGGCTTCCCGCATGTCAGTCGCCACACGACGTGCAAATCGCAGCAGCTGCGGCTGCTGCGGAGCTATCCTCGCCGTTGTCTCTGCCAAATCCGCCTGTTGCACTACCCCTAGACGTGCAATTGCATATCATGGAATCAGAAACGAAGCCGTCCCCTGAGCTGCAGCGCATCGAAACGAAGAAAGCTGACCAGCTCGGCTCGGACGAAATTGTATCGCGTTCGTCTGCATCGGATTGGTTCACCCCCTTTGAAGATCCATGGTGTAGTAACCATGCATTAGAGGACATGGGTACGTCATTCACAGATTTTCCATACTTAGAAGATATTATATAGCACAACTTCACTATTCAGGAGATGGACTAAACTCAATCTCCAGCACATAGAGCCTCGACTCGGTTTCAGATTGTCCGGTTCACGTCCCTCGACAAATCCGGTGTACTTGACGTAGACATTGTGAGCAAGGTTCACAGTGCATTACGGCGTAGATCTAGTATCATAAACCCCAAAATGTAAAGACAGGGCCACATTATGTAAACCCGAGGGTGATAGCGAAGTTGTGCTGTGTGGCGACCGAAATCGGGCGATGAAATCGCACACCCTACTCCTGCATGTACATCGGACTCTTCCAGCAACTTGCTCTCTCGCTACCGTACTCGCATCCCTCGAATCCACGAGCTGGATGCCTTGCCTTCACCGCAAGAATACTCGTAAATCCACTGTGGACACTGTATTATAGCACTGATCGGGTCCTTTCATGTTGTAGAAATTGTGCATGGTTCTCGGTTGATAGCAAGCTCAAGAGCCTCCAGCATCTTGGACGAAACATGTCCTCGGCCGACGAAATCTGGTCTTCGTCATCCAGGTGACCGGAGATAGAGTGAAGAAGGGCACCGAACGGCTGTCGTCCGTTTTCTGTGCGGTTTTCGGTTCATGTATAAATAGTGTTCATCCTCGTTGTTTGTGATCCATTCTTTGGAATGTCGTTGTCCCCTCCTGTATTTTATGGTCAAGGTCACTGTTGTCCAGTCCGTGAGGGTCGTTTTGGACATTTCATTGGGGTACATAAAGTATTAAGTTCCATTTGGCAGGCAGTATTATATCATAATAAAAGTTCGTACGTGCGTGCTTTTTATACCGGACAAATGTAAAATCTGTACCATGTGCACAGAAAAAGTATTCAAGATAGTTAATGTCATTTGTTTATTTGTTTGTTATTTTGATTTTTTATGAAACATTAGGAGGTAGACACTTTTAGTATTAAATTGGGTCCAATAAATACTTGAGATGTGTTTACTTTGGATGGTAGGTCAAAGTTTCACTTTATATTGTGCCCTTCCTCTTGTAAACATATTTGTTTTTCTCCAATCCAAGTATTTCTCAAAATTTTAAAGTACCTCAGTTCATTTTGAAGTTTTGAATGGATTAGAATTCGGATTATTCTCCAATAAGTTCTTTTATAGTCTGTCAACTTAAATCAAAATATTTATAATTATTTTTTAAATTTTATTTGATTAGATTTATTTGATTAAAATTTATTTGATTAGATTTATAAATGACATTGTTATATTACTTCAAAATAGTCCAAAAACATGTTTCTAAAATTAGAATACAAACTAATTCCATATTATTGAAATTACCAAAGTATTTTAAAAAAATATTTATTTGAAAAAAGGCAAAATATAAAAATCATTTAGAATAGTTAAGACTACAAAAGAATAAAAATATAGCAAAATTGATTGCAATTTGATATATAAATATATATATATAAATATATATATATATATATATATATATCTATATATATATATATATATATATATTCTTAGACTTAAGCTAATAAGTTAATTAAACATATAAGATTGATATAACCTATAAAAGATCAAAACAATAATATTTTAATTTTTTATATTTAATCAAATATCAAATCATTGCTTATTAACAAGAACAAGAACTTGAAGAATGAAAATAACCAAGTGAGACATTTCTCAAAGAAAAATGACAAATAAAAGAATAAGTTAATATATATAGTTAAAAAAAATAGAATAATTATTGCTAAAGACTAAAGGACTAGAAAATCTTGAAACTAGAAAAGGAGCAAAAAAAAGAGTTGATAAGAGTAAAAAAGGCCTCACACTTGCCTTCATATATACTAACTAACTTTGAGCTATGTAGCAACATTCTATAAGATCTTCAACACATGTCCAACTTGTAGGGCACATGACTAATTCGTAATGTAAGTTTCTTATATAAATGTCACATGTCCAATTTGTATCATAAGTAGCCAACATATGTGACACATGGCCAACTTTTCAACCTACAAATCATCTACATATAACTAAAGATAAATCCACATCTATAAGACTTCTAACAAGCTTTTCCATAGGATATTATCAAATTTATATCTAATTACTTCTATTAATTTAGATTATCTGGATAATTATAAATTGATCATTTAACATATATATATATATATATATATATATATTATAATAAATTATTTTTAATTTTTTTTATCAAAAAAAATTATTTTTAATATCATATAACTATTACAAAATATACATATATATATATATATATATATATATATATAAAATACCAAGTATAAGATAAATATAAGTAGATTTAATATTATATTATGGCAAAGCTTCTTAGAAGCTTCATAGATGCATATTTCACTTTATACATGTTTATAGTTAATTGATATGTTAGAAACTTGGCCAACAAGTTAGCCATGCATTGTACATGTGGATAGCTTGTGGTATAAGCTAATAATGTGGCACACATATAGGAAACTTACCTTGCAAGTTAAGACACATAATCACAAATTAGACACTTGTTGGAGGTCCTATAGAATGTTGCCACATAACTCTTAGTTAGATAGTATATATAGAGGTAAAAATGAAGTCTTTTCCACTCTTATCAATACATTTTTAGTCTTTAATCTTGTTTCAAGACTTTCTAGTCTTCTTGTATTTGACAATAGCCATTTTAATCTAATATTATACCAATTTGAATGATTTTTTAGTTTTTTTAAGTGACACAAGAATTTATTGATTTTTTAATTTTTTAAAATTCATGTTCTTGATAATGAATTAATTATTTCAAAATCTAAGAATTAATCTCATTTTTCTATTTATTTATATTAGCTATTATATATTAATGATATATTCACAAATGATGTTAAATTTTTGATTTAAATAGATTAGAAATCTTTCTTAATTTTTACTTTTTTCTTATATCAAATTAATTGATTGATATTCTAATTAAATCAAATAATTTTATCATATTAATTATAAAGATATTTTTTAGATAAGTTGCCACATCTTTTTTTTTTAATTTTTTAATTTTTTATATTGATATGCCAAAATACATTATATTTCTATAGGATCTAAATTTGTTTTCTTATAATAGCATATACAATAATAAAGTTTGATGTCCTATTATATATTATTTTGTTTGAAAATATATCATGCACTTGGTTGTGGAAGGTAAACTTGTACTTTGTAGTTAATTAAAAATATATTAAAAAAAAATGTTAATTTACTTAAAGGTCAACCATTAACCTTTTGTCATGAATATAATTCATATTAACAATTATCTAAATAAGGAGAATTAAGTAGAAGTAAACAGAAGCATGTAAATTATATAATATATTATATAAAGGCTTTATAAATTTGGATTTTATTTTATATATGTTTATAAGTGATTGATAGGTTGAAAACTTTGTCAAGAAGTTGGCAATATGTTGCACATGTTGGCCACTTGTAGTATAAGTTGGCCATATAGTGCACATATAGAAAACTTGCTTTGCAAGTTAGATACATATTTTTTGAATTTAACATGTATTATAAGTTCCATAGAACATCACTATGTAGCTTTTATTTAAATTGTCTATATAAATGCAATAGTAAGGCCTTTCTCACTCTTATCAATTTATTACTTTCTTCTAGTCTAATTTCAAGAGTCTATAGCTCTTATATCTTTAATAATAACTATTCCAATCTCTTCTTAAATACATCTTTTCTCCATCTTCTTTTGAGATACATCTCACATATTTTTATTCTTTGATTTCTTATCCTTAAAACCTTCTCTAATTGTGTTTTTAATCTATAAGCAATAATAGTTAATTATTGCATGGTTTATTTTCTTTCAAAATTTGTAAGAATGTTGTAAATTAATTTCATTATTAGCTTAAAAAATATTATTTCAATTCAATTGGAAGATTATTCAAAATCATTGAAATCTCTTCAAATCCTTGAAATCTATTATTTGAGATCTTAACTCAAGTGAATTTTAATAGTCTTTGATCATACTATTTGATTAATCTTAAATTCATAAAATACATTCAAAACAAATAGATTTACAATCTCACAAATTTATACTTGTCAATTTGCTAAAATGTCCACAAAAGTCTACAAAATATATACTTTTGTTTATTTTAAAAAACCATGAGTCACTAAAATTACCTTATCTTTGTAAATCTTTTATAAAATCAATATCTTTTTAAATTATCCAAAATTAACACTTAGACATATCCAATAAAAATTTATCCTTAATATTGTTTTTCAATCAACAAAAAAAACCTTATTAATTGCTGTAGGTGTATGATTTTATGCCTTAGGATTTGATATCATCATTAATTCACAACCAATTTTCTTTAGATGTTAGCATTTATTTTTTCAAGTTATTTTTTTTATTAAATGCTATTTTTTATTTCCACTTAAAAAATATAATAATATTATTTTTTATAATTCATTATTTTATTTTATTTTTAGTCTTGTAAATTAAAAAATATCATTTTTATAGAATTAAAATATTCATAATAATTTTTTTTTATTATCTTCATATCTTTTATCCATATTTTTTTAAAGTAATTTTTTACTATGTTTTTTAATAAATTTCTTTTATAATATATATATATATATATATATATATATATATTATCTAATAGCCATGTTATAATATAATATCAAATAAAAATTACATGAAGCTCAAATAAAGATCATCTAAAACGATAATAAAGAATAGATAATAAATAGATAAAAATTGGATGAAAATATGATAAAGATTAGATGAAGATCAAAAGAAGATTAGAAAAAGATCACGTTATAGTTGGATGAAGTCTAGATACTCTCAAATGCTCTACTTTGTCAATAATGATGATTTCCACATGTTCTTTTTAAGCCAAGGACAAAAAAAATTACAAGTACCACCATCACTACCTCTTGTGTCAATGAAAAAAAATCATGAGCATTAATACAATCTTCGTTTATATCAATGACAAACAAAAATAACATAAGAAACATCATGGTTGCTTTTTATACTAGTGAAAAATAAAAATATCATAAGTAATGTTATAGTTGAATCACATGGTTTTAGTTGTTTTAGCTTCAACAAAAAAATACAATTATTTTTTAGAGAGCCTACAAAACTATTGCAACTTTAAAAATCTATTGTATTATCAACAAGTTTCAATACATCAGTCTATGACACAAATTGTTAACTAGATGAATAAAAAACAGTTGTGATCTAAATGACATGTCATAGAAAAAAATAAGATAGTCTTTATTTAAAGCACACCTTAAGTCTTTAGCAATTGATTTATAATTATGATTTTTTTTTCTTGCTTTATTCTTGTGGCTTTTTATATTCAAACAAGCTTCATTATTTAATACAAAAAAATCAAAGAATAGTCAAGACAAATTCTTTCTTTATACTTTACAAGGCTGTAAAAACAATCTTATTACTTCATTCAAGTTGCTAGTCTCTATACAAAAGCTAGACAATGTCTAGTGGATTATTAAATTAGTTAGTAACTTTTACCTATTTAAATTAAATAAGATCATTCATCATAATACTAACAAAAATATATTTCTTTTTAATCATAACAACCTACTTACAACAACCTTATATGCTAATTTGTAAGAAAATTCTTCATTTTACAAATTTCTATAAGTTGCTTTTCAATTTAACATCCTTCTTGCATATTGTATAGTTGCATTTTTAATTATCTTCTAAAACACAATCTAATTCTTTTAATTGCAACCCTTCTACTTTTTTGTACTTCAAACTTATGTAAATCTAATTTTTTCTTTGTAGTAATCTAATTCTTACATGCTCACACTATAGCTAAAGTGCTATAACCCATATATGACATGTGCACCTCTTTTCATGTAAGTACTATAATAGTAAGAAGTTTTCATATCTTATAGAATTTTTATTTATTTATTTATTTATTTTTTGAAATTTTAACTACACTATGGTGTTTTAAAAAATTTAATTTTTTCAGTAATATTTTATCTACTACCTAATAATTATAGGTTACTAATAAATAATACATATAAAAATATATTTTTGTATATATTAGCCATAATAATTAAACACCAAATTTTA